TATATTGGTATTTATATCGGTCAAAGAAGGAAACCGATCTACCGAAAAATATATTAATTCTGTATTAAAATGTTAGATACCACAGACCCCTACTGTAGTATCCTAGATTGAACCATATAATGTTTATTGGATTTCTTTTCTAGAGGTATCGTGTTTTTAAATTTACCATTTGTTTCTATTACTAATAGGTGGCATGCAAGGTCGAATGTAAACTTAACAAGATGGTTGATTAATTACTATATTTATCAACTTTAACAACCAAAAACATCTATATATACAAAATAATAACTAAACCTATATACATAATGAATTGTTGAGAATCATACTGGAGGAGAATGCTTGATGTTTGATTAAAGTTGCATGTATTCTATTGATTCTATTAATTAACGATTTATGGGTGCCAACACAAGTTTACATCATTATTACTAAATGAGGGTTATTACCTCGCTGGTTCTTCATCATCTTCGAGTCTCCTTCCATGTTGCTCTCTTCAGCCTTCGTCTTCCTCCCAGTGTTCTTCCATCAGCCTCCCCTGATCAAGTCTCCTCCTCAAAACTCTAACCGTCCTAGCTTTCAGTCACCCCCCTCTCTTTTTGTACTTTTTTCCCTCGTACTTTTTCCTGATTGGCTGAATATTCCTAGCCTAAGGGATGACCACGCCCTCTCTTCCAGGCCAAGATATTCCACTAACCAGGTATATTTTACGTATTTCTGGAAGGTGTTAATTTTCTTTGGATCCTGTTTAAACACTCAGTTGTCGGTCTTGGTCGGTGGTTCTTAAGGGTTTTTATTATCACTTACAAAAGTTTGGGCTCGTGGGTCGTTACCCTAGCTCAGGTACCGCCAGATATGAGAACTTGTGATATTTACTTATTTAGACCTCTAAATTAATTAAATGAGTTCCACCGGCGGTCTTTAGAATACATAGAAATATATATATACCTATATTCTTGTGTGATAATTTTAATTAGAAATACAGCAATATCGATTTAAAAATTTAAATCTCAAATATAGGTCTATTTAAAAAAAATAAATTAACAATAATCTTTAACTTTATTTCTTCACTCAAACCAGGCCTAAGAGAAAAGAATACCCTGCATCATTTGTACCTATCTTGAATTCAGTATATTGCTTCTTCACTACCGAAGGCTGGAAAACTTTGTATTCGTGCGGTCAAAAAAAAAAAAAATATTTGCTCAGAAACAAAAATATCAACTAGCATTTAAGGTTCTAGACATCAAGGATCATATTTGGTTCGGTGTCTGTCTGTAGTCAAACCGATGTGACGGGTACATCACCTAGTACCGTTCATCCAATTTTCATGAAATTTTCATAGATTATGCGGATTGTTGCCGAGATGGTTATCAATTTTATCAATCCATCTAGAACTTCCGGAACATACGCACGCGCAAACGTATTTTTTTAGATATTTCAAGATATCCAAAAGAGCTTGTTCGGTTCTGCTCAAAGTTAGATAAAAGGTAGGAAATGCTGAAAAAATAACGTAATTTTAATTTTATTGAATTCTGTGCACTAATTCAATTCTCGTATATATGTCCAACGCGTGTTACATGATACTTTTAAAAGGTTAGCCTATATCTTTTAAAAGGTATGTTCATTTTGGCTCAAATTTGGAGGGAAGATAGGGATTGGTAAACAGATAATCGAGTGGATATGAATTTTATCCAATAATTGTTAATAAGTTAATTTTATATATTTTTTCCTCACTACCGAAAGTAGGGAAGCATTGTGTTCTTGCGTGAGGTTAAAAAAAATGTGTGCTCAAAATCGAAAATTTCCAGTAGCATCTTACGTTTCAGACATCAAGGATCATATTTGGTTCGGTGTCTGTCTATCTGTCTGTGGTCAAATCGATGTAGCGGACATATTACCTATTACCGTTTATCTGATTTTCATAAAATTTTCAGGAAATGTAGGAATTGGTGTCTGTATGGATACTAATATTCAAAGTAAAATCTATTTTAGAGTAATTTGATTTGATGCGAGTACCACTATAAAGAACTTTTCATTCAATTTTTACGTCCTTGTAGTTATCAAAGAAACGACGTCTTAAAAATTTGCCATTGATCTAAGCAAACCATTATTTGGTTGTGCAATATCTATAAGTTTTTTAGCTGCTGCTGGAGTACTATATAATGGCAGAAAACTATATAAAAGTTTTTTATATATATATATATATATATATATATATATATATATATATATATATATATATATAAATAAATAAATAAAACCTTTATATATATATAATAATAATAATAATAATAAGGCTTAGCGAACCCGAAGGTTAGATGCCGACACCACCAATCGCTTATTACACACCTCCCTCCACCGTTCGCCGTCCAAACCCAGTCCCTTCAGATCGGCTTTAATGCAATCTTCCCACCTTCGCTTCGGTCTACCCCTCGGACGCTTACCATTCGGCACAGCAAATATTAACCATTTAGGAATTCTCTCGTTACTAAGCCCAACAACTTTACAAGCCCATTTGATTCGCCGTGATGAAATTACATCAATTATATTACCCGGATACAGCTCACGCAATTCGGCATTGTGTAGCCGTCTGAACTCTCCGGTTAACTCATCCTTCTTCGGTCCGAATATTCTACGCAATACTTTATTTTCAAAAACCTTAAGACGCTGCTCATCCCTTAATGTAAGTGGCCAAGTTTCGCATCCATAAAGAACTGTAGGCAAGATAATTGTTTTATAGATTCTAATTTTTAAGTTCCGGGACAAGAGGCGCGAACTAAGTAGTTTTGTCACAGAAAAATAACAAGCATTTCCCGCCTTCAGTCTAACTTTAATCTCTTCTTCAATTTCGTTTTTTCTAGTTATCGTTGAACCTAGATACCTAAACTTATCTACCTGTTCAAACATATTACCATCTATATCGATGTCACCAGTAGTATCGCCATTTTTGCAGCTAACCATATATTTTGTTTTATCCACGTTTATTTCGAGTCCTAGTTCTTTCCCGGCTTTCATTAACGTTGTCGTATTTAGTTTTATAGTTTCAACGTCTTCGCTTAACAGTACCAGATCATCAGCATAGCCCAGCACGGATGTTGTCCCGCCCAGATCCAACCCTTTCTCGGTTCGCATTACCTCCCTAATGGCATGTTCTAATGCCAAATTGAACAGGACAGGCGAAAGTGAATCCCCCTGTTTTAAGCCCGAACGAACCTCAAATTTTTCGGACAAATTATTACCGATTCTAACTTTATTGAGTGTCTCCGTCAAGCACATCCTGACTAGATTTACTAGTTTTTTTGGAATCCCCTGCTCAATTAGAATATTATACAGTTTCTGGCGGTCAATAGAATCGTAAGCCTTTTTAAAATCTATATACAGCTGATGAACAATACCTTTGTACTCCAATTTTTTCTCTAATATTTGCCGTAAAGAAAATATTTGATCAATAGTCGAACGATTCCGTCTAAATCCGCATTGGTAGTCTCCGATAATTTCCTCGGCGTATTCTGTAATTCGACTGGTTAAGATTGAAGTGAATATTTTATAACATACCGGAAGGAGTGAAATTCCTCGATAGTTATTACAATCCGTCCTCGGACCCTTTTTGTGAATCGGAATAAGAATAGATTCTTTCCATTCTTCAGGTAATTTCTCGTTCACCCAGATCTTTTTAACCAACCGATGTATTTTAGAAACTCCAGCTTCCCCGCATGCCTTAATTAGTTCAGTAGGAATATTATCGATTCCCGCTGCTTTATATGATTTTAATTTTCCGATAGCTACTTCAACTTCCTCTTTACTTGGTCCTTCTATTAACGGTTCAGCACTCTGGTACTCAGAAGGAGGACACAGATCATAATTTCCCGTATTTAAAATATTGTCAAAGTGGTCCTTAAACTTATTCAATATGTCAACCGGATCGGTCAGAATATTGTTATTATCATCCCTAATTCCAGACGTTACGGGTCCTACATATTTACGTGATCTGTTTATACCTTTGTACATGTCTCTTACGTTATTTTCGATTCTATTAGTTTCTATTTCAATTATTTTATTTTTAAGATACTCCCTTTTTTTATTTTTGAGCAATTTTGTAGTTTCGTTCTTTGAGATTCGGAAGTATTCCAGATTGTCTTCGCTAGGATTATTTAGAGCTTTTAATTTAGCGGCTTTTCTTTTTTCGCACATGTTTAAGCAATCTTCATCAAACCACGGTTTGTTATTCTTAGTTTCCTTTTTTCCTAGGCACGAGTTACCGATCGCTTTTATATTATCCCTGATCTCTACCCATAACTTGTCAATATCCTCGTGGTCCTCGTCAGGAAGCTCTAAAGCTTCAAACCTATTCTTAACATCTAGCTCGAATTGGTTTCTAATTGATGGATTTTTTAATTTTTTCAAATTAAAATTCTCAAAATCGAAACGGTTTTCTTTTCTCTTTTTTATATTAAGTTTTTGTCGAAGTTTCGCGATTACTAATTCATGATCCGACCCACATTCTGCTCCGCGATAAGACAGTACATTGATTATACTGCTTTGCCAGCTGTGTTGTATCAAGACATGATCTATTTGATTTCGTGTTTGCGAATCCGGTGATGTCCAAGTATATTTATGAATATCCTTATGTTTAAACGTCGTACTTTTAATTATCAGATATATATATATATATATATATATATATAATATAATATATATATATATATATATATATATAATATAATATATATATATATATATATATATATATATATATATATATATATATATTGTAATATTTTTATTTTTACGTTTATTTATCTCTCTGTCTGTCTGTCTATTATTGCCGACGTTTGTCTTTTAAAATCTGAAATCTGTCCTTCTAACCTTTAATCTTTCTGTTAGTCAATTAACCTGGTATTCGTGTATCTATTTAAGTTTGTAAGAATGGGGTGTACAAGCTTAGATAGGATGAGAAGGATAAGGTGTATAAGGTAAGACCGCCAAGAATGATAGAGGGACAACCCCTACACATCCAGGGCTCTGCAACCGAGGAGGCAATCCCCTGACGTTGCGAGGATAGGATAAGGAAAGACCGCCAAGAATGATAGGGGGACAACCCCTACACATCCAGGGCTCTGAAACCGAGGAGGCAATCCCCTGACGCTGCGAGGATAGGATAAGGTAAGACCGCCAAGAATGATAGGGGGACAACCCCTACACATCCAGGGCTCTGCAACCGAGGAGGCAATCCCCTGACGCTGCGAGGATAGGATAAGGTAAGACCGCCAAGAATGATAGGGGGACAACCCCTACACATCCAGGGCTCTGCAACCGAGGAGGCAATCCCCTGACATTGCGAGGATAGGATAAGGTAAGACCGCCAAGAATGATTGAGGGACAACCCCTACACATCCAGGGCTCAGCAACCGAGGAGGCAATCCCCTGACATTGCGAGGATAGGATAAGGTAAGACCGCCAAGAATGATAGGGGGACAACCCCTACACATCCAGGGCTCAGCAACCGAGGAGGCAATCCCCTGACGTTGCGAGGATAGGATAAGACCGCCAAGAATGATAGGGGGACAACCCCTACACATCCAGGGCTCTGCAACCGAGGAGGCAATCCCCTGACGTTGCGAGGATAGGATAAGGAAAGACCGCCAAGAATGATAGGGGGACAACCCCTACACATCCAGGGCTCTGCAACCGAGGAGGCAATCCCCTGACGCTGCGAGGATAGGATAAGGTAAGACCGCCAAGAATGATAGGGGGACAACCCCTACACATCCAGGGCTCTGCAACCGAGGAGGCAATCCCCTGACGCTGCGATGATAGGATAAGGTAAGACCGCCAAGAATGATAGGGGGACAACCCCTACACATCCAGGGCTCTGCAACCGAGGAGGCAATCCCCTGACGCTGCGAGGATAGGATAAGGTAAGACCGCCAAGAATGATAGGGGGACAACCCCTACACATCCAGGGCTCTGCAACCGAGGAGGCAATCCCCTGACGCTGCGAGGATAGGATAAGGTAAGACCGTCAAGAATGATAGGGGGACAACCCCTACACATCCAGGGCTCTGCAACCGAGGAGGCAATCCCCTGACGTTGCGAGGATAGGATAAGACCGCCAAGAATGATAGGGGGACAACCCCTTCACATCCAGGGCTCTGCAACCGAGGAGGCAATCCCCTGACGCTGCGAGGATAGGATAAGGTAAGACCGCCAAGAATGATAGGGGGACAACCCCTACACATCCAGGGCTCTGCAACCGAGGAGGCAATCCCCTGACGCTGCGAGGATAGGATAAGGTAAGACCGCCAAGAATGATAGGGGGACAACCCCTACACATCCAGGGCTCTGCAACCGAGGAGGCAATCCCCTGACGCTGCGAGGATAGGATAAGGTAAGACCGCCAAGAATGATAGGGGGACAACCCCTACACATCCAGGGCTCTGCAACCGAGGAGGCAATCCCCTGACGCTGCGAGGATAGGATAAGGTAAGACCGCCAAGAATGATAGGGGGACAACCCCTACACATCCAGGGCTCTGCAACCGAGGAGGCAATCCCCTGACGCTGCGAGGATAGGATAAGGTAAGACCGCCAAGAATGATAGGGGGACAACCCCTACACATCCAGGGCTCTGCAACCGAGGAGGCAATCCCCTGACGCTGCGAGGATAGGATAAGGTAAGACCGCCAAGAATGATAGGGGGACAACCCCTACACATCCAGGGCTCTGCAACCGAGGAGGCAATCCCCTGACGCTGCGAGGATAGGATAAGGTAAGACCGCCAAGAATGATAGGGGGACAACCCCTACACATCCAGGGCTCTGCAACCGAGGAGGCAATCCCCTGACGTTGCGAGGATAGGATAAGACCGCCAAGAATGATAGGGGGACAACCCCTACACATCCAGGGCTCTGCAACCGAGGAGGCAATCCCCTGACGCTGCGAGGATAGGATAAGGTAAGACCGCCAAGAATGATAGGGGGACAACCCCTACACATCCAGGGCTCTGCAACCGAGGAGGCAATCCCCTGACGCTGCGAGGATAGGATAAGGTAAGACCGCCAAGAATGATAGGGGGACAACCCCTACACATCCAGGGCTCTGCAACCGAGGAGGCAATCCCCTGACGCTGCGAGGATAGGATAAGGTAAGACCGCCAAGAATGATAGGGGGACAACCCCTACACATCCAGGGCTCTGCAACCGAGGAGCCAATCCCCTGACGCTGCGAGGATAGGATAAGGTAAGACCGCCAAGAATGATAGGGGGACAACCCCTACACATCCAGGGCTCTGCAACCGAGGAGGCAATCCCCTGACGCTGCGAGGATAGGATAAGGTAAGACCGCCAAGAATGATAGGGGGACAACCCCTACACATCCAGGGCTCTGCAACCGAGGAGGCAATCCCCTGACGCTGCGAGGATAGGATAAGGTAAGACCGCCAAGAATGATAGGGGGACAACCCCTACACATCCAGGGCTCTGCAACCGAGGAGGCAATCCCCTGACGCTGCGAGGATAGGATAAGGTAAGACCGCCAAGAATGATAGGGGGACAACCCCTACACATCCAGGGCTCTGCAACCGTGGAGGCAATCCCCTGACGCTGCGAGGATAGGATAAGGTAAGACCGCCAAGAATGATAGGGGGACAACCCCTACACATCCAGGGCTCTGCAACCGAGGAGGCAATCCCCTGACGTTGCGAGGATAGGATAAGAGACCGCCAAGAATGATAGGGGGACAACCCCTACACATCCAGGGCTCTGCAACCGAGGAGGCAATCCCCTGACGCTGCGAGGATAGGATAAGGTAAGACCGCCAAGAATGATAGGGGACAACCCCTACACATCCAGGGCTCTGCAACCGAGGAGGCAATCCCCTGACGCTGCGAGGATAGGATAAGGTAAGACCGCCAAGAATGATAGGGGGACAACCCCTACACATCCAGGGCTCTGCAACCGAGGAGGCAATCCCCTGACGCTGCGAGGATAGGATAAGGTAAGACCGCCAAGAATGATAGGGGGACAACCCCTACACATCCAGGGCTCTGCAACCGAGGAGGCAATCCCCTGACGCTGCGAGGATAGGATAAGGTAAGACCGCCAAGAATGATAGGGGGACAACCCCTACACATCCAGGGCTCTGCAACCGAGGAGGCAATCCCCTGACGCTGCGAGGATAGGATAAGGTAAGACCGCCAAGAATGATAGGGGGACACCCCCTACACATCCAGGGCTCTGCAACCGAGGAGGCAATCCCCTTACGTTGCGAGGATAGGATAAGTAGACCGCCAAGAATGATAGGGGGACAACCCCTACACATCCAGGGCTCTGCAACCGAGGAGGCAATCCCCTGACGTTGCGAGGATAGGATAAGGTAAGACCGCCAAGAATGATAGGGGGACAACTCCTACACATCCAGGGCTCTGCAAGCGAGGAGGCAATCCCCTGACGCTGCGAGGATAGGATAAGGTAAGACCGCCAAGAATGATAGGGGGACAACCCCTACACATCCAGGGCTCTGCAACCGAGGAGGCAATCCCCTGACGTTGCGAGGATAGGATAAGGTAAGACCGCCAAGAATGATAGGGGGACAACTCCTACACATCCAGGGCTCTGCAAGCGAGGAGGCAATCCCCTGACGTTGCGAGGATAGGATAAGGTAAGACCGCCAAGAATGATAGGGGGACAAATCCTACACATCCAGGGCTCTGCAAGCGAGGAGGCAATCCCCTGACGCTGCGAGGATAGGATAAGGTAAGACCGCCAAGAATGATAGGGGGACAACCCCTACACATCCAGGGCTCTGCAACCGAGGAGGCAATCCCCTGACGTTGCGAGGATAGGATAAGGTAAGACCGCCAAGAATGATAGGGGGACAACCCCTACACATCCAGGGCTCTGCAACCGAGGAGGCAATCCCCTGACGCTGCGAGGATAGGATAAGGTAAGACCGCCAAGAATGATAGGGGGACAACCCCTACACATCCAGGGCTCTGCAACCGAGGAGGCAATCCCCTGACGTTGCGAGGATAGGATAAGGTAAGACCGCCAAGAATGATAGGGGGACAACCCCTACACATCCAGGGCTCTGCAACCGAGGAGGCAATCCCCTGACGTTGCGAGGATAGGATAAGGTAAGACCGCCAAGAATGATAGGGGGACAACCCCTACACATCCAGGGCTCTGCAACCGAGGAGGCAATCCCCGACGTTGCGAGGATAGGTAACCCTACACTCCCAGGGACAACCTGGAAGATGCAAGGGGGACTGTAGGAAAACAAGGGCCAACCAAGTTATTCCTACGAAAGGAGAGAGGAGGTAGGTTAGGAGAGAATAGAGAAGGAGAAAGGTAAAACCAAAAAATAACACATTGGTCTGGTTTCAAACTGTCAGACAGAGAGATACCAGGAGCCTATGTGAGAAGGTGACTCGGGAGAGAGTGCCTGCCCTAGGAACCAGGCCAGTATTTAAACTAATAACCAGCCCTCAGACCTGTTTTCAGGTTGGTGAGAGGCTACACTAGTAACAATTATTTTAACTAGGCCCTGAGATCTCTAAGTCCAAACTCCTTTTATTTTTATTTAATTATAGTACATGAATACTTATTTTAATAATATTACAAACATTAGTTATTTACAAAATCAGTAATTACAAAAAGAAATAATAAATAGATTCAAAATGAAATTCATAGTTCACTAGGAAATTAACAGGTTGCGCTACTAAAATTATTAATCATTATTAGAAAAAGCAATGACTTGCATAAATGAATTAAATAGTTCATTAGAACAACGCCTAGAGGGCGCCACGCGCAACCTCCAAAACACTATACCACTAGTCATTTACAATTCAACCTTTGACAGAGAAGGACCTCCCGTCCGTTAGCTCTAATACATTGTACCTTTTAATCCTTATCGCTAGTTAAATGTTATTATTGTTTGTTTTTAATTTCAAATTAAATCACAACTAAAATTAATACAATATCTAGAAATAAATTAAATTTATAAATATATTACATATAAATGCTCCTTTTTACACAGTTCAATAAAAGAACAAAACGTGAACATGAGTTCTATTAACAATTACAATTTATAAAGGCCCTAATAAAATATGTTACAATATATATATATATATATATATATATATATATATATATATATATATATATATATAATTATATATATATATTATATATAAATAAAACCTTTATTCCTCGCTCTGTTAATGTTTGGAATTCTCTTGCTATCAAAATTCGGCATCCTTCATCCCTATCTACATTCAAAACCCTCCTATTCCAATTCCTGTCCTAAAAACAGATACCAGCTAACCTTTTATGTAAAATTACATATTATTCATAATAATGTATTCACATATAGCTCATAACTTAAATACTTATTATAGATTCGAATTTCTTTTTTTTTTTTCAACAGAAACATAGTTTACTGCTAAGGAGAATTTCCATTTATTTTTTTCTGTATTTTTTATTTATTCTCAAAATGTATATTTATATTTTTCCATTGTACATTATTCTAAGTGTCTTGGTAAGGTTTCAAGAGTTTTGTATATAGATGTTTTTTTTTATTTTGTATATAGTAGGTATAAATAATATTTTTTTTTACTGATTTCTCTTTATCTTTACTTTTTATGTTTGTTTTTATTTGGCCAGATATAACATTTTAATTTTGTACTTTTTTGTTATTCTGAAGGGACTTCGTCCCTGAATAAAATTATTTTCTATTCTATTCTATTCTAAAAGGAGAATAAATAAAAAATTATATTTAATTTAAAATAAAATAATTATTTCTTAGCACGAATTCACAATATATACCAAGGTTGAAAAACATCACTAATTACAGAAATGTACTACAGCTACATGTTTACAGGAAAAATATATAAGCCAGCATAAACAAGGCCACAAAACCAGACAAACACGTGGCTCAACACGTGTGAAAATAATTTCTTAGCACAATAAATTTAATTACATAATTGCTCAGTTAAATTTAATTACTCAAAATTATAAAAAACGCTTTCAGGAATCTGCTGATTTTTTTATTTTCAAAGACGTGAATGAGGTGCCTTAACCTTAATTGCTATTAATCCTGATTAAATTTGGGAATGTTGGTTATCTTTATTATTCCTGTCATTAAGAAAAGGAATCGATACGAGTAGAAAATATCTAATAAAAAACGTTAAATTGTTAAATCAATATTTACTTTTCTACAGCTACTAGGTAAGGTAAGTAAAGTATTTCAATCGCATTAAAGCTAGTTGACAGATTCTGTTGCTTATTTTTAATTTCATTTAACTATATATGAAATATATAGTAAGGGTATGCATTGCGATCGTGAAAATTTTCGAATATGAGTTTATATATCGTATATAGTAATTGAGGATGTCTTTCATTAATTATTTATTTAATTTTAAATTTTGTTTGCATCGTCTTTTTATCTATATTCGTGGAATTACTTCGGTACATTTGTGTGTGATATATTGTATTTGAAATTTTTTTTTTTATGAAATATATATGCTACGCAATGTTAATAGCTTGATATAAATCTTTTTTTTTTATTGTTTGTTTACTTTATTTTTATTGTTGATATTTTATATCACATTTTAATTTATGTATTTTTTGTTTTCATTATATATAAAATGTATAAAACTTTTTTCTTTTTTTTTGTCTATAAAAATGTATTTTCGCCTGTCAAATTATTGTTGACAATCAGCAAATGTGATGGCGATACATGAAATAATGAGATGACAGACATGGGGAAGGAAAGTACTCAGCAGTACCTCTTCCCTAACTTGTTCTAATTACTTAGGTTGTTTAAGGAAGGAGATCTCTCAACCAACGCCTTTTTAGTCTTCTCGTCATGTTCTTGGTTATGTCAGCTGTATTCCATGTCCGTTTAACTTTGTGTAAAATCGTTGATAAAGCGTCTTTAAATGTTGGTCAACTGTTGGAAAGTGAAGGTCAGTATGTAAAGTTTTGTTAGTCACGTACCAAGGTGCTTTCCATCATTTTGATTGGAACGTTTGAAGTTTTTGTAGGCGGGTCTTTTTGGCGATGCCGTATATTTGTGATGAGTACGTCCATATGAGCTTAAGTAAGTGTGTATATGTATTCAGTTTCTGTTTTAGTTTTAGTTTTGAAAATTTAGAAAAAAAAATGTGAGTAAAGTCGTTTGTTAAGTGTCTTATGTTTCATTTTAACATGCGGACCCCATGTTATGAAACGTAAATTTATCTGTTATTAGACAGAGATTCACGTGTACAAAACCTATATTAAGAAAAAAATATATATAAAACGAGCTTATTAACATTTATTTGGACCATAAATAACATTATGTATCCGACACAAATAACAGATAAAGGACATACCTTGAGTTTAGAATAAATTTGTTACTGGTAGCTTCCAGATGGTCAGGATTCGGTAAGACTCCAATGAGTTAGCTATTAATGAATGCACTGACCAAGCTACAAGTCATACATTGAAAACGGGACTTGCTCTTAATTCTTTAAGTGAGGACAGCCAAAACGGGAAGGCATTTATCCCGGCCGTACCTGTGACATAACTCCTAACGTAAATGCATGTATCCCGTCCGCGATAGAAGGGATATTGAAACTTGAAACTTTAATCGGCAACAAATATAGTTATAATTTTCTTGTAAATACATAACTTAATTAATAAGTTTAATATTACTCTATCGCTGAGAACTCAATTAGTTAGTTTCAACCTACGATAGTTTGAACTTACTGGATATTCTAAATTGCATTCACTCTCAGCTGTATGCAAGTTTTAATGAAGCTACCACCACCTTCATGAAGCTGGTAACAACTGAAGACTCGCCACACAACTCCCGGTTTGTAAACACAACGATCGGACCCAACCTTTAATGTCCGACCCCAGTTTATAGTTCCTGCTCCGCAAAGTTCGAACAGCGAATTCAACCATTTCCCAACTGAATGGAAAGTAAATTTGTACAGGTTTTACACAAAAGATTTAAAGACAATTTATGAAATAATTAAAAATATTTATAAATTAAGAGAGTCTGTAACCAATAAGTACTGTTGCCCTATAATGCTTTGAACTTATTTTACAGTATTTTATTAATTTTATACTTCCTCATTAGTTTAATATAATGAAGTACTTGAATAAATTTATGGTGCCTCCCATAATAATCATAAATTGAACAGTGTCACAGTATTCACTCACACTAAAACAGTGTTACCGCGCGCTCTGTGACAAAACCTCGTACTCAAGCCTCGTACATCCTCGTACGCTTGTTCATTCATAACTTGTACTATTATAAGTCCAGTGTTATTGTTTTTTTTATAGTAAAATTAGATCAGAGCTTTTTATTTTTACCTCTATTCATATATTTTAAAGCCTTTTTACATTACTTTTTTTTTTAAGTTAATGGGTCAAGAAGTAAAATTCGCTTAATAAAATATATAAAACAGCTTATATATTTTTATTAGAAACTACTGGACACTTTATATAAAAATTGAAATAGCAAAATAAACTTATTATAGTACTCTTCATCAGTATCCATTAGTAGATCCAAGATTTAATTTGGGGGATGACTAATTTTTTTTCTTTTTTGTAAAAACAAAACAACTACTTTTATGAAACGACGTTAGTGGTTCTGGAAGGCCAATAAAAATTAATTTTGGGGCATTGATGCTTTTAGAGATATCCATTATGATATAAAAAATGAATAGATTGTGATTGTTTCAGTATTTAGCTTACAATTAGATCTCGGACAAAACAAATGTGGACCACTAAAAAATACTTTTTTCCCATTATTTATGATGGTTCCATTATGAATACTAGTTCATTTTTCAATTAATTACTTTACTCGATTAAAAATCGAAAATATTTTTTTAAATTACAGTAATAATTTTTTTTTAAATTTAATTTATTTAGAATATATTTACAATTGCAGTTTTATGAAGGAAATAATGGTTATACTTTCTCGTATTTTATTTTATGCACGATAAAAATGACGGTAAAAATTTCTTTTTAATTTTCCTTTACAACACATTTTAAAAAATATATATTTACAAAAAAAGTTTATGAAGGAAATAATGGATATAGTTTCTTATATTTTATTTCATACTGGATAAAATCTAAAAAAAAAAATTCTAGAAAATTAAAAAAAAAAACATATTTACAGTC